GGATATTTTTAGATTTTTGTAAAATGGATTATGTTGTTCTCTATATTGCTCCTTATATTGTGGTTAGAGCTGATAAATGAAACTAGCCCCTTGTTGGCTTTGATTGGTTGGGCTCGTTAAGGTTCTATGAATGAGTCGAGAGGTTAAGGCTCAAAATTTGGAAATTTTATATAATTTTTATAGGCTCAAGCTCGGCCAATTATTAATATTGATAAACGAGTCAAATTTGAGCATGCTTATGAGCTTGTTTAGTTAATGACTAGGTTACATTACATCCCTTGGTCCTTCTGTTTTTAAGAAAGAAAATGAAAAAAAAAATCCTAATAAGGTAAATAATCTAGAATTTCCACAAGAATAGTCCTTTTCTAGTTTGATGTTTTATTTGCTTCAATTTAGAAGCATATATATGGCTGCAGATAGATCTAACAATTAGGTTGGCATACTTCTTTATAAATATGCATAATTTTATTTTAACAAAAAATTTTTTTTCTATTGTGTAATTATTTATTTTTATGCACATTAGTTTCTTGTTTTTGTTATTTCATTCAAATTTATGAGATACATTTTTTATTATATTTGAGACGCGTATTGTGATGGGCTAAATTTATGTGTGTATATAAATATTTTGGACCAATATTAAAACATTTTCCTAGATCTACAGACAGAAATTTTTCATTTTTGACTGCCCAAAAATTTATTCTTTGAAATTCATAACGAAATATTTTTTTTTCACAAAATATTATCCATCTTATTTCAATTTTTATTTACAAATCTCACCGAACTCGGGATCTGGGATACGCCGAGCGAGGTATGCGCCACTGCGCTCAACCCTCTTCGTCAAAGATGTCTTCACACTTCAATTAATGAAATTGCCAATTAAAATGAATACATGAATACCAGGTCTTGCAATTAGCATAAAAATCTCGATTGCTACTCAAATAAATACAAGGAAAAATAAGAAAAAAAAAAAGGTTGAAAACCCCAAATAGAGAAAGAATTATCAATTATGGGTTCACCTTGGTAACTCCTTGAGAAGTGATTTTCTTTTCGATTTTATGTAAGTCTGGTTCACAAAAAGCGGAAGAATAAAAAATGATGGAAGAAGATGAGAGATCGGTAGTGCTGGGCGACCAATTTTGACATTAGAAATCTAGTGAAGGTTAGATTTTTTTTTCTTCGTGTCTGTGTGCGTAATGGGGCAGAAACCAGGTTTTATTTTTTATTTTTTACTTATTAAGACTAAAATGACGTCGTTTTTGGCTTCCAATTTTTAAATTAAATGGAAGCAAAAAACAACGTCGTTTTATAGGATTATTAAAAAAACCTTGTCTACTCCATCGGTCGTTTTCTTCCATGCCCTCCCTGCACGCACAAGCTCCATTTTTTTTACATTTTCAACACAATAATTCTATTAAAAATGATAATTACCAGTAAAAATTGAGCCAGGACAATTGCCCAGGCTCGCCCTAACGTAAATCCGCCCCTGTATATCACATCATATTTAATCATTAAGAAATATTCCCAATCCCAAACTTACCTAAATTTTTTTTAAAATATTTGTTTTTTTATTTTTTGTTTTACTTTTTTATATCAATTTTTCAAATGCAGACATTTTTTTTTTTGCTTAATAGCAGAAAAATACACGACACTGCAAGGAGGGGGTTTGAACCTGCAACTCCTAACCTATAAAGGGTGTATGTGTGCCACTTGGTCTACCACATTTTATGTTAGATATTTGAATTCACTTATCTATATACCAACTTCATTTATTACACATATATATACATATATATATATACATATATATATATATAAATATAGTAAATAATATTTACTAAATAAATATTAAATATTTGTTATATCAAATAAATATTATTTCTATATTGTTAAATATATATTTAATATTTAATAATATATTGAATATTTAATAATATATTAAATATATTTATTAAATATTTAATAATATATTAAATAAATATTAAAAATTATTTAATTAAATAAATATTATTTCTATATTATTAAATAAGTATGTTTAATATTAAATTATATATTAAATATTTAATAATATATTAAATATATTTATAAAATATTTAATAATATATTTAGTAAATATTATTTACTAAATGTTTAGTAATATATTTAATATATTTATTTAATAAATATACTAAATATATTTTAATTTAGTGAATATATTAAATATATTTATTAAATAATATAAATAATATTAAACATTTATTTCATATATTTATTTGGTAAATATTTATTTAATATATTTATTTATGTAATATATATTTAATATATTATTTTGTATATTTAATATATTTATTTAATATATTTATTTAACATTTATTTCGTATATTTAATATATATATATTAAATATACATTAAATATATATTATATAAATAAATATATATATATATATATATATTAAATATACATTGAATATATATTATATAAATAAATATATATATATATATATATAATATATATACGTTGAATATATATTATATAAATAAATATATTAAATAAATATTTACTAGATAAATATATTTAGTAAATATTTATATAATATATTATTCAATAAATATATTTATTAAAGAATTAATAATATATTAAAAATTTAATAGTATATTAAATATATTTATTAAATAATTAATAATATATTAAAAATTTAATAGTAAATTAAATATATTTATTAAATAATTAATAATATATTAAATATATTTACTAAATAAATATATTTACATAATATAATAAATATATTTATTTAATAAATATTAAATATATTTATCAAAGAATACAAATAATATTAAATATTTATGTAATATATATTTTTATATAATATATATTGAATATATGTCTAATAATATATTACATAAATATTAAATATTTCACGTAATATATATTACATAATATATATTTAAATACTTTATAATATATTAAAAATATATTAAATATTTAACATAATATATATTAAATAATTAATAATATATTTAATATATTAATATTTGTAATATATTTAGTAAATATTATTTACAATATATTTAATAATATAATAAATATATTTATTGAATAATATATTTTATAAATATTTACTAAATATATTTATTTAGTAAATAATTATTTAATATATTTATTTATATAATACATTTTTAATAAGTATTTAATATATATATATATAAATATATTACATAAAATGATGTTTGTATATGAATAAGTGAAGTCAAATATTTAATATAAATTGTGTTAGACCAAGTGGCTTATAAGTACATTTTATTTGCTAGTGGTACCAGGTTCAAACCCCCTCTTTGCAATAGTTTTGCAACATTTCCACGTAGGTGATGACTTGGCTCCTGCTGAGTCAAGCTTTTTGGTGACGTGGCCGTTAACAAAATGCCCCGTCAGCTTTCTGTTGACGGACGTTAAGTTCGTGTATTAGGTTGCCAAAAATCTAAAGGTTGTGTATTTACTTGCCAAGGTTTGAAAGTCATGATTAAATGGCCAATCAAGTAAAGGTCGTTAAGTTCGTGTATTAGGTTGCCAAAAATCTAAAGGTTGTGTATTTACTTGCCAAGGTTTGAAAGTCATGATTAAATGGCCAATCAAATAAAGGTCGTGTATTTTTCCGCTATTAAGCCTTTTTTTTTTAATCTTATAGCCAATTCCACCCTTATTTTTTAATTTATAAATTGATCTAAAATGCACCCAAAAAAGCAAGGCTAATATATTATATATGAATAAATACTTTTTCAATCTCTTTTAAAAAAAATATGGAAATGCCTATATACATGCACATGTTAAACATGTTTACGCGTACTCTCGAACTCTCAGCAAATGGCAATTAGCTCAATCTTTAAAAGTACTGCACATTTACCGATAAAAAAAAAGTATTGCACATTTTCCACGTGCTTCTCACCATCCGCGTGCCCCGCACGTGCCTTACCCTTTAAAGTTTAAATCCCCCTCCGTTCGCCGCCGTCCTCCCACGGCCACATCTCTAGAACAACCGCCGCCGCCGCCGCCGCCGCCGCCGCCGCTGCTCAACCATGGCCGTGTCCGCCGGAAACTCGTATCTGCCGCCAGATGCGTCGCCTTTCGAGCTCAAAGCCGAGGCCGACTTCGACCGAATCGTCTCCCCCGATGGACTGATTTCGGTCTGCGGCTTCGGTTCTCTTCTCTCCGGTTCGTGCAATCGGCCAGCTTGTTTACTGTCCATTCTTACCCTTTATTTCCCCCATTTTTATTTTACGTTTTAATTGTGTGGAATTATAATGCTGCTCGAGAAAGTAGTTGCTTGAAGTGAATTTTTGGGCGATGTTTTTNTATCCACCTTGATTATTTGTGTTCGATGCTCTTTTTATTTTAGTCACTCTTTATATGTTGTTTCTTGATAAATTTGCTCTGAGATCATGTGCAGAAAGGAGTGCGAGGAGTACTTTTCCAGATTTGATAAACTTTCGAGTTGCGAAATTGAATGGTTTTCGGAGAGTGTTTGCTCATGTTGCTCCGATTTTCTTCGAACGGGGCATAGCTAAGCCTGAAACAAAGGTGCACATTCTCATTCAAAGTGTCATGAAGAAACCAAATGATGAGTACTTGAAAAGGTGTAAATATTCATTTTATTGTTTTCGAGTTAAGCATATATGCACGAGAAGATGAGTAGATGACTGATTGTGTGTATTTAAGCCATGTTTTGGCTGAACTGATTGTGCATTGTGAGGCTATGTTTTTTTGCTGAATAATGTATTTTAAATCGTGCAAGTTTGCTATGTGAATTTGATGTAATGTATCGATCAATGAGTTATGCGTGGCAGAAGATTGAAGAAAAATGATGGATTAGCCGGCATTTACGTTTTATCGTGTGTTTGATAGTTTTAGCCGGCATATTTTTTGTTTTCTAGTTATTCAAATGTAAGACATAGGAATGATGTAAAAAGGATCATTTAAGAACTACTATAGTTATATTCACTGATGCTGTAGTTGTTTTCACTTTACACAACAGGAAACATCAAGCTTGAGCGTGGAACCCTGTGAAGGTGAAACTCTTGTAGTTACCACTTTTGAGATACAAAGATCAGAGGTATAATTAAATAAACTAATCTGCCTTAGCTTCTAAAGATTAACTTTGAGCTGGAGTAACTGATTTATAGTTGGGTTCTGCACATTTTTAATGCAGATACCCTCTTTTATTGAGAGGGAGCATGAATTCCGGTTTTTAGCTGTGAGTTGCATCATTACTTTTTACCTGTTTGAAATTATATTTGTTACTTTGGAAAAGTCACATGCTTTTCTAAGATATTACTTAACATGTTATGTGAACGTGTTTTGCATTAGGTGACTCCAGAAACATTTAATGGGCTGTTTTACACTACTCCATCGGTAAACGAGAGTGATTACTGCTGATTTTCTTTTTATGTGTGATATTCGTCTATTTTATTAATTGTTTTCTAACAAATTCCCAATCTTGGACACTCGTGCAGGTACTATGTGCACGTTATAGTGATGAGGAATACTTCATGAACAGATGTGAAGGTGATATTCTAATCTCTTCATGTTCATAGATAGTATTTGGAACCTTCTAGAGAAGGAACGATTATAAAGTTAAGGATATTAAAATAGGATCATCTTTCAATCATTTGTTGGCTGGGCATTTTATTGTCCATCCCGTTTATTCAAAATGCGTGCACAAGAGCATTATACCGTTTGCACATTTGATGGCAGGCAATAAAGAGATATTCTATCAACGGTATGGACAGTATGGCATTGACAAGATTTGGTTGGATGATATCTTACCCTGTCGCGTTTATCTTCGCCATTGGTGGGTACTTTATGCATACTTATACTTTTTTTTTGCTAGTGAAAAGATTCCATTGCTGATGATTGTTTATACGGATAATTCCTAAAAATGTACCTGTGGATTTGATCTAAATTACCAAAGAATGTTGTTCCCTCTGTCTCGTGTCCCACTAAAATGGACTGGCAATCTGTTCTCATTCGTCGGGATTTATAGGTTTTTTTTTTTTTTTGGTATTTACTCTATTTAACACATTTGGTTGTATAGTAAATGAAAATCTGTGTATGGATTTATAGGAAGAGTAAAAACTAACATGGGATAAAAATAAAAACTCCAACATTGTTCATACATTTCCTGTGTATTTATTAAAAAAAAATCTTCTCTGCAGCGTGTTGGCAGCAAAAAATCTAAGTGAAGCAGCATACGAGAACTTCTTAGATCATACATTTCTTGGTGACCGTAAAACAACCATTCGCGAGTACTTAGCAACATCAGGCTCGGGCATAATGGAGGATGAGCCTCCCGAGCAGCTAAAACATCGTTATGGTGGTTAATCTGAGCTGAGATTTTGCGACCCTTAGTCGAACCTTGTCTACACGAAGGTTTAAGGAACTTGGAAGGTTTTTTGGTATAATCATATTGACTTATTGATATCAGGTCCTAAGTCAGAAGGTTTAAGGAACTTGGAAGGTTTTTGGTATAATCATATTGACTTATTGATATTAGGTCCTAAGTCAGTAGACTACACAATGTTGTAGTGGTTTCAGTATTTAGCTGGAAAAAATAAATATAGAAAATAGTTTGTGATTTACTAATGCTTGTTTTTGCTTGTGTTTCATCTAGGCAGTGAAATTAGAGCATCTCTAATGGAAAATTCTCCATTTTGTGTTGTATGGCATGGAGAATGAAAACTAAAAAATTATGTCTCCAATGGTTAATATTAATTGTGGTATCATTTGGGATGTGTAAAATTTCAATTGGTTGAAGAAGATAAATAAATTAAATAAATACTCTAATATACAAGAAGTTGTCTAGAAAGGCTTCTACATCTAGAAAGCCTTCTAGAATTTTTTCAAGTCACATAAGATTATTTGTGTCATGTGACAACAAAATAGAGAAATAGAAAGACCATTGGAGATGCTCTTTTAGCTGTGGATGGGGGTGTAAGAAGATTGTCCTTTTGAAATAATATTTCTTACAATATATTGCTTCCCATTCGTATAGACTACTAGTTAAGTTATGTTTATTTAAAAAGTAAAATTTTTTAGTTTGAAATCTATAAATACTTCTTTAAAAAATACATCATTTCTTTTATTTAAACGATATTCTAAAGGAATACATCATATGGATAATACGAAACTATATTTGACGGTAAAATGCTCTAAAATAACATATATGGTAGTTATTGTAATCTTGAAATACTATATTTGACGGTAAAATGCTCTAGAATAACATATATGGTAGTTATTATAGTCTTGAAATACTATATGTTTATTTTGAATAAAATGTGAAATTGGTATTACTAGTCAATGAACAAAAGATGCGAAAGTATTACACATATAAAACCCGTAAAAAAATTGAAATAGTATATGTTTATTTTGAATAAAATGTGAAACTGGTATTACTACTCAATGAACATAAAATGTGAAACTATTACACATATAAAACCCGTGAAATAATTGCGTCACGAGAGTATAAAACTCTACATTTTTGCTTCCCTGATTGGCATGACGATAGATCTAAATGATCAAAACTTCATTTTCGCCTAACACTTTGTACTTCAGCGGAATCTTAAAATGTGATGTATTTTTGAAACTTTTTAATAAGTTTTGCAATTGTGTCTTTTTAATAAGTTCAGCAACTATGTTTGCATGTTTGAGTGTTTCTCTCATTGAAGGGGATTTAAAAATGTGATATACTCATCGATCAAGAAATCAAGCAAATCATTTATTCACATACAATAGATCTATCAGATTGTTGTGGAGATTTAATTCTGCCCATGAAACCATGTTATATACTGTCGTTGGTGTTTCATAACCACTTGGAACAATGATGAAAGCAGTTGTTTTTCTCTATATCAACCACCATATCGGTCATAAGACGCATAACTAGAATGAGTTAACATTGCCATAGTGCATTCCTTGATGGCCCTAGCAGAAATTTTATGAAATGTGATACTTGTCAGTTGTCACTTCTATATTCTTTAACACTGTACAACCATTAAAGACTGTTAAAAAAATTGGTGTTAGTCCCTCCAAATAAAAAAATTAATTTTTTAGTTTTTCATCTCCCTTATTAATCAACTTACAATTTCTATATTTTCATATTTTGAGAAAANGAAAGATACAAAGTTTGAACATCAGAAATTAACCATTAACTGTCACATACCACAGACACTAACTAATTTTTCAAAAAGAAAAAAAAGAAAAATTGGGAGATATGTGTTTATGATAAATAACTTGGTATTTGAAGAGAAAAGTTTCACAAACTAATGAATGATTCATTGTTTTCTTTATGACAATTAATATTGATAGTTAAGGAGTACTTGAGTTTTAAATGAAAATATTTATTAAGAATTTGTGTTAATGAACATTATAACATACTAAATTGTATTGATATGCTTTTTCACAGTAACAAAACCAGTTTTACAAATTTAAATATTTTGTAAGAAGATTTTCGAGACTAACGTTCTAGAATTATCTTGTGCTTGAATAGAATTATCAACTTCAAATTTGGGTCCTAAATTTATTCAAAAAATGTCAACCTTAGACTGGACGAGCGAGTACTTTCTTTGTCAATAATATTGATTCTATTATTTTCGCTTGTTTTCACTTATTAGGCTATTAACTCTACAACGTTGAGACGATGCACATATCTAATAAAATTTGGAGGATGTTCTTTTTATCCACAAAGCAAATCATTTTCCTACCGTTACGTGAAACGAATAACATATTATCAGTAGGCAATTTAGATTTTGGAAAGGATAACTATAATTCTATGATGACTAAAATTGAAGCAAAAATTCTTATATAAGATAGTCTAATCGTGGAGTAAAACAACATTTTAATTTGAAAGTATTTATATTTGTTGAAAGATTGAATGTCTTAACCTTTAAGTCTAAGTCTATCTATCAGTAAGTCGAGGATGTACATTGTACACACACTATATAATGATGAATTTGACTTAATATTAAGAATTAAAATCAAAACATTTGTGTATACGTTGCATTTTAAGAACAGAACAAACAAGTCATCATTGGTCACACAGCTTGAGCTACAAAACTTTTCATCTCCACAAGGCATAACTAAGAACCACAACAAAACTCATAGGAAATAACAGAAAATGGCTTGGTCAGGTAAACTAAAATTTTCTCATTGCAAAACAAAAAAGAGCCTTTTCCTTCTTCAGTCCCAAATTTTACCATTCAATGGTTTAATTTTTTTTACCCGATTCGTCAGCTGCAGGTAAAGACAGATCACCCCTCCTTACCAAAGGCTGCAACTCATCTTTGGCCAACTTCTTCACCACAGAGTCGGAGGTCTCTAAGTACGCATTAATTACCTTCGAGCTGAAAATTAAGTCAACGAGTAATGACAATCAGAATATTGTAATGAAATCGCAAGACGGGACTAAGTACAAATATTGCAATTAAGCCCTTGGCAAGCATTCTATTTCATAAATGCACCGTACTGAACGAGCAATCTTTTTTAAAATAAACAACCAACAAATGCTTCAAATTTCGCAACCCGGTTAGTAGTCATTTGTACAACAAATACAAACATTAAGATATATTTAAAACATTAAAGAATATTGGTGATACAAACTTTTGGGGAAAACGTTCTAACCTGTGACCCTTGGACCATATTTCACATTTTCCTTTGAGAGCCTTTTCCCAGAGAGTCGAAGCAAATGCAGGGCAGTCTAGAACAAGTTTCCTGATGACTCGACTCGAATGAAAATGTTCGAGAATGTGCTCTTTTTCAGGCTCATCGACCTTAAGCTGGCAAGCAATGGATGCAATGGCTTCATGCAATTGGCCCAACTTTTCATCCAAAATAGGGTGGAGTATTCTATCAGCACCTCCAGTAGCAACCTAATTGCAATTTTTTCATTATACAATCTCATTAGCTATCGAGCCAATAAACAGAAATTAGTGGCAGTTTTCGGAACTAATTGCTTCTAAAATTACAGATACATAAATTGTAACAAAAGTAAATTGATACAAATACAACTGTACAAAAGTGTTGTGTGATTTCGAAAGAGAAGTAGATGAGTTTGTACTTAGTCAAGACCTCAAGTCATATTCATAATATTTTCTGATTTTTTGGCCCATTTAGGGTCTTGACTATATATAAAAAAACAAAAACAAAAACAAAAAATATTCATAATATTTCTAAGAATAACTATACCTCATATATGACCTCTTTCCCGTACTTGGACCTTAGCAAGTCATCTGCCATTTCACAGCATGCATCAACAAGTTTCTGCAAAAAACCGTATAACATCCGAATATCATGCAAGAATAAAGTGAATATGAATTTACAGCAAGACAAGAGTTGGAAGCTAATGAAGTCGAAAGGAAAGTGGAAAATGCACTTAAATAGCAAATTCCATGCCACGCGGTTGGTTT